GGGGGGGGGGGAACTAATATTATTAACCATTTAAAAGTTATGAACAAAAAACTTTTGTTAAATTTCGTTGTTTTCTATGGGCAATTACACCGACAAAGATTCACTAAATCACCTGTTCTCACTTTTTAAACACTATTAAAATATATAATTTAACTTATTTATTAAAGAAACACATAGTTTTATCAACCTAAGACAGATTATTTTGTTATTAAAAAGAAGTAGACAATCTTTGCGAGCCGAAACGCGAGATTCCAAAATAGCTATAGTGCTGCCACTGTATTAGTATTTCGTAATAATTCACTTTTCCTTATGAGATGTGTGCACTGTTCAATGCTTTTCGGTATCTTCTTTCGTTTAATATATTATTTATTGAAAACTTTCGCCTGCGGCGCTTTTTCTATAAAAATTAATACTTCGATAAATAATGAAGATTTTTAATTAAAAATCGCGCGATGGTATAGCGAAATTTGCTATTATATTTTGGTTACAATATCTTATTTAGATGAAAGTAAAAAGAAGAAGTGTACAGTGTATAGTGTAAACTGAGTATAATAGCGCAAATGAAATGTGAAATAAAGTGGCAATACCAGCGATTTGAGGTTATAATAATTTTAGCAGGCGTAAAGTTTGTTTACTCTGTTTTATTAACGAAATATATAAAATAAAAGTGAATAAATGATTTGGTTTGCATAAAATAATAACCGGAAACGTTTTAGTAGTGTTTTAAAAGTAGAAACTGGTGATTTAGTGCATTTTTGACGTGGTAATTGCTCATAGAAAACAACGAAATTTAACAAAAGTTTTTTGTTCATAACTTTTAAATGGTTAATAATATTATCTCCCCCCCTCCGGATTGTTATTAGGGGGGGCCGAAACGCGTCGTTTGGTACCCCTCCCGACTTTTCCGCACCTTTTTTAGGGGTTGTTACCCCACCCTAGAGAATTACCAACATTTTTAAGAGTTATTAAAATGGCAGTATCTATTATTTGTTATTAATGAAACAAATGAAAATTCATATTTACACACACCTGTTTGCACTTGTTCGTTGAAGGGTCTTAATTAATTTAAAACCTTTTTTTCAGTTACTTAGAAAACACCCTCACCGCAGTACCAAATCAAACATTCGATAAACATTTGCAATCTTTACTCAGATTTTCGACAAATATCAAGCCCATCATATCATACAAAACCCGTTTTCCAACTTTTGATTTCATTATACATCAAGAACAAGATGGAATGCAGCAATTTGAATAAGTAAACTAGTGTGAAACAAAATTGGTAAACAGACATACGGTAAATGGAGGAGAGCTAATGAGTAACAAGTCCAACCAATTGTTCGAAATTTGCAAAAGGTGAGACAACCAGTTCCACCAACCCAACGCAAATCACAGCCAACTTCAAGACATACGTAACCAAAAGGCAGAGCAACAAAATAGGCAAACGTATATGCAACGAATGAAAGCAAAACAAATGAAAAATTGGCCACACGAAAGAATGCACAGCAATAGTCAAAATACAGCCATATTGTGTATTCGTTTTAACATAAAGCCCCAAATCAATTTTTTCAAAGCATATAGCCTTCGCATTTTTCAATATGGCGCATAGTAACGAGTAAACTCAACGAATGAAAAATAACGAATGGCGAGTTGGGGGCGAAAACACGAAAAACAGAATTTCTACGTCGTAGGAAATCGGCCTAAATGAAAAAAACTCAAATCTGATTTTTCTGGCATGAAAACTTTTAATGATGTAACATCGGGTTTAATAAAACTCATTTATTTGCTCACTTTCCATTATAGTGCGTATTCCATTTATACGTATCATTTTAAAATTATACAAAGTTCTAGAAGCAAGCATAATGTGGAGCAGGCATTAGCTGTTCTAAACATAGAACTGTTAGCAAAGATTTTGGATAGGAAGTTTCAAGAAACATTCCTTTGCTGAATTTTCATTGAAAAATGCGGAAAATCTAATAAGCATGGAAAATGAGCGCTTAAAATAGTCCCGGGACCAAAGCTCAAACTTGGCTTGGGAGAAAAATCTGCAATATTCGCACAAATTGTATACGCATACTGTTTTTTCTCCTAATCGTAAAATGGGCTGCCACTAAAGCTTGTGATGCTTAATTTAAAATTAGCTCTTATTTAAAATCAAATAATGAAAAAATACCTTTTGAATTTCACTTCATTTTATATACACACATATACATAATTTCAGCGCCGATTAAAAAATTGGCACATTTTATTTACACGAAGCGCCGAGTTTATCGAAAGACAACAAAAAAAAATTTACTTACTTTTAAATTCCTTCACAAATGGTAATCTGCTGCTTTTTTGTCAAGAATTTCACAAATTTTTCCACGCTTAATTGGGCTAATTTTAAACCTTTTAATTTTCTAGCCTTAATATGGCAGCTTGCTTGCTTTGCTCGCAGAGCTCTGCTGAAATTTTTCATAAATTTTTACTTTTGACACATGCACTCTCAGCCAACTTCATTATATACTTTAGCTTCAGAAGAGTACATACAGCGTGTGAAAAAACGAGATGTGCGCATGAACAGAACAATGTGCAAATAAGAGAAAGCCTATATGTTTTTACTAAAATAAATAGCTTGCGTGAAACGAGTTAAAAAGAAATGCTTATATGAACAGCTCAGACACAAGCCTACTCGCAAATTGTGCGACAGAAATAAAACTGGACGCCATTTTTTAATTTTTCATCAAAAAAGCGAGAAAGCTAGAAAGATCGAAGAAAAATATGAGAAACCTAAAATAACGAATACAAATTAAAAATGGCTGCCTGAATATGGCGATAAAAATACTCGGTATTTCTGGGATTTCGCAGGACGCATACATTTTTTCGAATTTACCACAAAATGAAAATCCTTTAATAGGAATCATTTAACTGGCTATGGGCGAAAGTTTGACTCATAATTTGAGAAAAATATTTGTGCTTAAGCAAAATGTTCCAGCGCAAATTTGATGAAATGAACTGCGAGTGCAGTACAAAAGCACACAAAAATCATCGGCTAGTGATTTGCGTATGCAGTAAGAATACACAATTTTGTTTCTGTATTTATGACCGAAAAATGGTAGTATACTAAAAAAATTTCTAGTTGAGCATCAAAATAGGTGTGCAATCTGCTAAATCTTACAATTCGTGTTTCTATGTGCTAGAAAAAATAGTGTGATATTTAAAGAACACATGTATGCATATACATATTCCAAATTTACTTACCTTAATTTGCATATGAAAACTGCCAATCTTATTTTTAATTCAAATTTATAGTCTGCGCAATATACAGCTTTGTATGCGTATAATTGTAGTCATTTATGTATAGAGTACGAAATTATGCACTGTTACAGAAGTTCATAATATTTAGTTTAATCAAATGTTATTTGTATCATTTCACTGCACTTGTAAATTGTCGACTCGCTATTTTCATATATAATACAAAACATATAAATTTATTATAACGAATCACATAAGACACTGCATATAGTACAAAGTACGGCCCTGTTACCATAAACTCTCAATGCTACTAGTACCCTTTATAAATTTCAATTAATTTTGCGAATACGAATGAATATAGAAGGGAGAAATTTATAATTGGCGCGACTATAATACAGTAGCGACACTATTTGCAGCAATTCACCTTTGATACATTTTGTACTGTATACGAGGTGGTACACAAACATCAAAATATATGATTTTTCTCTTTCTGTCATTTGTAGTTTTCCCTCATTAAAATAGCACCCTGTACTTCTACGTATAGACAATCCTGCATTTAAATCATTCTACGTGAGCCCTGTACTTGTATCCGTCCGTCCGATATAGATATATGAAATATAAGCACATCATCCAGCCGTCTCGTACACTCACCGAAAAATTGTATATACACGGATGTACATCCATTGCCCGACATGCGCGTATATATACAAATGAAAATACCAATTAGATTTTCAGCTTCATGCGGATTGAATATGGTGTAATTTCTAATTTTGCTGTTTTGCAAGTTTTCAATAAAACACAAAACGAACGGAAAGGTATTTACTTAAAGCTTTCGCAATGCCACGAAATTTTTCTCTACTGGTCATTGGTTTACATTTCCTGAAGCTATTCAATTCTTGTTTCTGAATTTGAATTAAATTGCATTGAATTTGAATTCAATCTAATGAATATTGCATTTTCTCCTACATTTTCATTTTATAGTTCGATTTTCTCTGCCAAATCTAAGTACCCTCCACATCCACACAATAAAAACTACTCGCTTCTTCGGCTATTCGTTCGGAAATTTTTTCGTCGCCTGTTAGTTACTTTATTCTACTTGCTTTTTCTATATGCAAGAAAATCCAAATTTTTCATTTCAAAATTTTTCTACTTTCTGCCAATTTATTTCTTTTTTTTGTTGATATTTTCTTTTAATTACAGTTTTCACACCGTCAACTTCACCTTTGCATTTTAATTACGCTACAATAACGACGTTTGAAGCGCTATTAGCGAGTTCCACATTGAGTTTTTCCAACCTCGAAATTACGTGTTCCGACCACGTATTTCTACATAATATTTGTCATTTTGTAAAGCGCGCACTAAGCACTTATTTTTTCACAATTTTTTAATTATTTTACCACAATTTTCCCACCTGGAAAATGTGTACAAGTTTTTCACGTCTGCTCGCTGCTGAACTTCACATAGAGAATTCAATAAATGGCGGCCACGGCGTTGAGCCGCATCGTTTGCTGCTACCAAATTTATCTACAATACTACGCAGTATTCCTTCACGCTTTACACAAAGTAAACTTGTTTGCTCACTCACTCTAGTTTGAAATGAAGGCAACTCGTTTTAGAGATCAGATTTAGTCGTTTCATTTATCGAAAATACGTCAAGCCTTGTAGATAGTTCTTTCTTTTACGCACAGCACAGCATAGAAGAGTTCGAGTATGGCGGGTAGCCAAAAAAAAATCATTCTTACGACTTCTGCGTGAGCAAGAATGAGTAAGTTAGATAGTTGAACTAAAAGCAGCGCGAGTACTAACACGCATTGGGAAATTGTGCAATAGTTTTAGAACACGCCAGTTTTTGTAATATTTCATATTGACGCTATTTTTATAAATATATGTCATTATATGTGCAATATGTGCTCGCTTTAACGCAATTTTCACAACTTGTATTTAATCGGTCAGTCAATGCCATGATTTAAAGAGTTAAAGGCACAATAATATTGCACAATCGATTTTAGCCCAATAACGGATTTGGTATAGCGGTTCCATCGGCAAAGACAGCCTTTCGAAAACACATGTTGGATGCTGCCATACCTAAAAGTACGAGCAAATTTTTGCGAATATTAAAACGCGTACAAATCGGAAATCATTAGAGCGTTCTAACAAAGTTAAACTATATTAAGACTCGTTTTTCAAAAATAGATAAATGGAAGAAACGTTTAAGTTACCACATAATTAAAAAAGTTCTTCGCGCAAATAATACAAACGGGAACTGTGGCAACTATGTTTTTGTGTTTGTGTTTTCATTTGCCAACAATTTGCAATATTTTAGGACGCCTATTTTTATTGATCATCACATTAGTTACATTTTGTAGTTTCTCAACATAATTCTGCAAATCGTTATAATGGCAAATAATCCAGCTGTAATTAAGCCTTCACCTGTCCGTACAGATGTAACAATCGTTAATTAAATTAGAATGCTAACCTTATAACTTACATTCCCATAGATCGGCCCGTCCGACAAAACTCTGGAACGGCAATCATCGCAATCCTCAGAAGTGGATATCATAAAACGCAAATTCAGCGAAATAAATCTTGACGCTTCCAATAAAAATTTCGCCAGCAGTTGTTTAGATGAGACACTCAGTATCTATAACTTACTGGCAAGTGTAGGTTTAGAAAAGTATATGGACTTGTTTGCTGCACGAGGATTCGAATTAGAGCAATTTTTGGATTTATCTTATTTAGATTTGCAGTTATTAGGCATAGAAGATAGCAGACATCGCAACCACATCATGGAATTGATAAACGCGTTTCGATTTGATTAATCACCATATTGGAAATACATCTGTATATACATATTTAAGTTAGGTATGTTACTTCCGGGATCCCAGACTTTTTAAGTCCCGAAAATCCCGGGATTATTTGCCAAGAATCCCGGGATTTATAATTTGCAATGGTGGCAATAATACAATGCCTTATGTTGGCCAGTTTTTCCTATATTTTTTTGTTTAGCTAATATTTAATATTTTTTTATATATGTAGCTAATTATACAGGCAATTTTACGCACAAAAAGATAGGCCTAATATATGCAGTAAAATTGCATTCTTAGCTTTTTTGTGACCATTAGATCCATTAAATTACAGGAGGATAAAGTGCAAGTTGCAAGTGACTAAAAGTAACGTTGATTTTTTATAATTTTTTTGCTGGCGGTGTCACATTTTCTGCCAACATATGTTCGACAATTTTTTATATGGAAGAAAATGCCCAGCATCGTTTAAAAAATTCCCAAAAATTAACGGTATTTTGTTACTGCATGAAACTTGCATAAAAATCCGTTCCTTCTAAAAATGCTGAGTAAAAAGTTTTAATTTTTTTGCATTTCTATAATTTTTGTACAAGTTTTAAAATTCGCATTTAAATGCAGTTAATTGTATATAAAATGAGGTAGACTTAAAAAAAAAAATTAAATATTAAAAAAAGAAAAGAAATATAAATTAAACTGGTTGAAATAAGGCGTTTCTTTTATTTCTGCCACTGGTATTTATTATAAACTTCTTTCAGCCACTCAATACAACTCAAAATTTGACATTTTTCAAGTGCGGTTTAGAAATAAAAGAGACTTTGTATTTGGCGTTTTGGAAAATTTCGATCCGATCTGTACATCAGTCGGAGTATAATGTAAAATTTAATTGGAGACTATAATTAAGATAAAATACCATCAAGATGATATCATAATTTGATAATGAATAGTATAATAAAATTTTAAGAGCTCACAACTCGTTTTACGAACTATGTTCTGATTTGAAACTGGTTTGTAAAACAAGTTTAATATTGTACCATCTTTCGTTTTTATATATATCGTCGTTTAAAGTACAAAACCGCTTATCGTGATTCTGCAAAACCGCGTAACTGGCATTTTGCAAAACCGCGTATGTGTAGTTATAGAAATTATTTTCTAGAGCGTAAAAACACTCATATTTCAAAATGCTTCTCTTTTTTATAAAGCAATCGCATATCTGCCTAGTATACAGTTATGCAAAACCACGTAACTGACATTGGCTGCCAAAAATTGGATTTGCTCACACAAACACTTGGCTTAATCCTTATCCATTCGTCCTGAAATATAAGCTAGAAATGCGATTGCTTTATAAAAAGGAGAACCATTTTGAAATATGCATGTTTTTACTCTCTAGAAAATAATTTATGCAACCTCACACGATATGTATGTATACTGCGTACCTAAGTATAATGAAAAGCAAAGTAGCTAATACTTAAATATCAGTTCTTCATCACGTTATAATTTAGCGTTATTATTAATGCTGTTATAAATTTATAGCCAAGGCGAATAAGTCCCACGATTTCCAATAACAGCTAGTTTTTATCGTTTTTATATTTTTGGAAAAATTTAAATTGCATATTTTAAGAGTTAAGAACTTCAGTACACATCGTCGCCTGGGTAAAAGATTGTCGTATGCTAATTTCGGCAGGTTGTGGGAAATCGCGATTGAAGTTTGGAATGCAATTTCTTAAAAACGCGATGATATATTTTCTCCAAAGTTCCTGAAAATGTTACTGAATCACAAAATTTTTAAATTATTTAATTTTAAATGTTTATTGTTAATTAGTTTTGAGTTTATGAAGGATTTTCTTTTGTAAAATTTTGTCGTAAACGTCATTTGTCCACAATTTGGCAGCCACTTTGTATGAAATACGACAAAATGCGATCAAAATTTCTACTAAATCAACGACACTTGGAAGCTATAGGAGATATCCAAAAATAGAGAACACAACTTTTAAGATATTCATTAGCTTAATATGACGGCATCACTAACTAAATTTTTACTAAATTATCGAAAAAATTGTAGTCGATATCTGGGAAACTAAAAGAGATATCTTAAAACTGATAACACCAATCGAAAGACCTTCAAAGTATATAACTGCATCTAGAACTAAAAATCGGCAAAATAGCGCTTACGACAATCTTTTACCCAGGCGACGACATACATACATCCCTGTTCTGCAATTCCGATACGGAATTGAAATGGTGTTCCACAATCCGATCGGAACTTTTGTTTCGAAGTTAGAATCGAATCCGATTGTAGAAAAAAAGGAACAAATCTCCTACTTGTCAATTGCGTTCTGAAGTATCATACACGCGTACTTTTCCATTGGAACAGTTTTGACAACTAATACGCAATGTAAACGCGCCGTTACACGGAAAAATGATCCCGTACTCTAAATTTCCTCCAAAATCCTGTAAACGAGAGCGATTTTCGGAGAGTTGTGTAGAGAATGAAGTTACAAGATATTATCCGAACTTTTTCTTCTGGTAAAATCATGAAAAGTGTCAAGCGATCACTTGTTTACGTTGTTACAGGGAAAATGCTTTTTTTGTTCCCGTACTTCTTGTTGTTACTCACTTTTTACGCTCACTTCAGAGAGTAATTTTGCTGTTTGACATTTTTACATGATTTTACGCGAAAGGTATTGGATCAGAGATAGGTGGTCCCATACTAATTTGGTTTAAGTCCGATCATTGGATCGTCAAGAAATTAATCTTAAAGTTTTATATGAGAGTTGAAGTCGGTTTTGTTTTTTTGCTTAAAAATTACTTGTTTGGCAATAAAATTTTTCGGTTACAAAATATTCGGTAGCGTGCGGGTTAGACCTGTTACACAGTCTTTGGTTCACCAGTATCGTTACCGAAATACTTGTATTTCTCCACAAGAACTTCCAGCTGTTTTAACAAATTCGCCAGCCAATGCAAATTTATATCTCTGATCCACGATTGAGAGAATACAAAGGTTGCGCCGATCTCGGACCGCTATTCCCCTCTTAACGAATTTGACAGAATCGTTGTTTGCATGACGTCACACTTGTGCAACTTGTTTACGTTTTCCTTGCAACATTTTTTCTTCTTCCATTCTTGCTCGCGTTTTGGCATTTCTCTCTCGCAATTGCACCAGTGTGACGTCACACAAAAGTTATACTCAAAAATCTTCTCTGATCGGCGCAATCTTGTATTCTATCATTCTTGTCTCTGATCCAATACTTCTCGTGTAAAATCCTGTAAAAATGTTAAACAGCAAAATTACTCTCTGAAGTGAGAGTAAAAATTAGTATGAATAAAAAGTACGGGAACAAGAAAAGTGAGAGTGAGCCAGAGAGTGTAAAAACAATCGCAACAAAAAGTAAAATAAACGTTTTAAGGTCGGTGTTATGCAGACAAACTTTTGTTTGCCAAATTAAATGGCGGCTGCTTAGTTTGCCCGGAGGTGGTTATGTCGAGTTTGGCACAGGGTTGCACATTCATTATGGTTTTCATGGCTATTGCCAACACGAAATGAGAATTTCAGATGTACATAACGCGCAAAATTTAAAATTTTTGTATATGACAACACCGAATTTGCTGCAGTTTGACCAAACAAAATTAGTTTGCTGTGAGAGTCGCCAAACTCGCTCTCTCCGAGTTTGCTACAACAACAATAGGTGCGTTCGTTTAAAATCTCCAACAGAAACCAACCAACTGCCAAATTCCGGCGAAATGTCATCTGTTCGCTCACAAGAGAGAAATATCCAAAATAGTACGCGAACAGAAAATTTGCAGAAACTTGCAAGCATGATACAATAATTTTTAGAAGGTAGTTTCACTTCAAAATTTTTGACATAAACCGTGTCTGTGACAAGCACGCAATGTGGCCACTGCTACGATATAGAACTTGGGGATTTTCGCTTGTTATTTTAGATATTTTTTAACAGAACATGTAAAGATTTATACGTTTCATAACTGATCACTTAATTTTAAATATAAATATACGTACGTAAAAATTGCGGTTTTTGGCCATTTTTCTAAGGGGTCCGTAGGGAACCATAGGGGGCCTAGGTGGTCGGGGGTTGCCTTTTTGTCAATGGCGGCTCATGCCCTCTCCAAAAAGGTCGGTTGGAGGTGCCACGCCCACTCCCCCTTCGCCCACCGCACCTTTAACGAACGGCCATAATGGAAAGTTTCCCCCATAAAAATGAAAATATAACGGCAATATTTCTTATTTATAATGGATTAGATCTATCGCACACCACGGACTTTATCGGCCGCCGATTTAGATGTGCTCGCTAGTCTTTCCATTGCACCACAACTTATTGGTCGGAGCGATTAAGCTGGTGTAGTGTGCGCACCTCCATACATCTTCATGTACATATTTCAAGCAAGCCCTATTATTTAAATAGGCGGCCGATAAACTCTGTGGTATGCGGTGCTCTTTTAGCTGCATCCTTACACCTATTCCATGTGTTGCAATATCCACGAAAGCAGCAGTTAACTTTTTATGAAGAAAAATATTTAAAAATATTCGAAAATTATTATTTATTTTTCCAACGTCGAAAGGTGGATTTTTTTTTTGAAAAATTTGGTACAACAAAAAATACGAAACACGTTTTCTGTCAGATAGCTAACATGGCGGATAAGAAGAAGAAGAGAAACTACCTTCTAAAAATTATTGTATCATGCTTGCAAGTTAGATGAACAGCTGATATAATTTTTGTTTACATTCAAAAGTGTAAAATTTAAAACGTACGAAAACTTATTACAAAGTGGTATCCTGGCACAGTTTATTGATTAAACAAATAACTACTTACTTCTTACAAGTTTAATTAGTCGCATTTTGTAATTTTTAACTTCCAAACCATCAAATTCAATTTTGTGATTTGCGTAAATGCCAACCAGCTGTTTTTGATCAGCTGTTTTCCTGTTGGCAAATTGCTGTTGGCAAACATTTTTCCAGCAGAAACCAGCAGCTTCCCCTCAAAATGAAATGTCACTTTGCTCTCTCAATTTCCCCTACTTTGCAAGTTTTTTGCGTACGCGAACGCAAAAACTTGTAAGTTTTGGTTAAACATGAACAATTAACAGCTACGCGAACGAACCTAATTGCACGCAGTTTGCCAAACAAAATTTCTGCATAACACCGACCTAAAACGCACGTGCAACTGTTAAAAGTACAAATTGGTGTCCACGGAGAAAACTCGCAAAACATTCCGAAAATGTGCGAAGAACCATTCAATAAATATCATTTATGCAATTTCAACGAGCTTGTCGTAGAACAAGGTAGGTTCCTTCAATAAGTAGATAAATTAAAATTTTTTTTGGGAAATCATTCACATACGTGCATACGCATGTACATATTTTTTTTACCGACAGATTTGCCCACTGAATCACTACATCAGCTATGGTCTTGCAAATGGACAACAACGCGTTTACAAGCTATTTTAGATAATTGGTTTCAATATAAAAATGCGGAACCAAGCTTAGAGACTGCTGATACCTTACTCTGTCAGGTCGTAGAGTTGACTTTGGTGTTTGTACAAAACAATTTCACAGGACCATTTAAGCAATTAGAAGAATTTACGGTCTTTTTGCAAGCAAAGCAACTACAAGAGTATGATCCCTTTATACGCTTAATGGAAAATGGCGAAGAGATAAATCCAAATGTAAAGCTTGGCGAATTATTAGTACTGGCGAAAGAAATTCTAAATTTTTTACGCCAAAGGTGGCCAGAATCTTTGGTATGCATTATTTTGAGAATCAACATTAATGTATTGAAGCTATTTTAAACTTTGCTTTATTTTTATTTTACTTTTAGTATCTTCAATGGTGGTATATGCGCATCGTTCACATACAGCAGCAGGTAATTGACGAGCTTACTAACAATTTATATGAGGAGCTCAAACTCGTTGCTGAGTTTTTGCTAAAAAATGTAGATAAAGCGCCCGAAAAAGAACTGCAAGCGTTGCTCTACTTGGAGGTGGCAAATGGTTATTTGCTATTTCATCGTTCACAAAAGTGCGATGAAACACTTGAGGAATTATGTCAGCGTTTGGGTATAGTTTTAAATATAGAAGGTATTTATTTGTGTTTAATCCGTTTACTTCGTTTATTATATAAAACAACATTAATTCTTAAAAAAAAACAGGTTTACTTGGCTTACGCACAAAATTCCAGCAAAAGCCGCTTCCGCAACTTTGTTTGAAAGTGCAGCATTGTAACACGGAATTGCCTTCGGCGCAGGACACTAATAGCAAGACGAATCTACCCAAGTTACTGTTATTGGACGATGATACGCGACTTGAGCGTATACGCTTTATTGAGCCCAAAGACAACGAGGTCATGACACTGCCAAGCGTTTTGCAGGCCCTAGTATTGGCAAGAGTGTAAGTATAGCACACCTAATGTTATACTTTGTACATATGCACATACTGTTCATTACAGCAAGCAACTTAAACGCTCGCAGCCAAAAGATCGACTAGCCGATGAAGAACTGGAGCCTTACATAAAAACGCTACTTTACCAGGAGCATGGTCCTCTACAAGTTCGTCAATCTGCCCTGCTGCTTAACTGTGTACAAGAGTCGAATCAACGACGCACTGTGGAGCGCAGTTGGAAGCAGTGCGAAGGCGCTGTAAAGCTTCTTGATAGTCATATATATACATTACCAGAACGCCTTTCATACGCATTCGCAGGTTTCCTGCAACCCAAGTGGCAAGTGCAAAGACAGCTATGCGAATTATTACTCTCACTGGGTATGACAAAAACTGCACTAGACATATACCTACAAATACATGCGTGGGCAGAGGTTATTCAATGTTATACAAAACTTGACTTGCGTCACAAAGCCGCAGAGATTATACAACAGGAATTGGCGAAGAAGCCTACAGTACTGCTGCATTGCTTGCTAGGTGATGCTATAGACGATCCAAATTGTTATGCTACTGCCTGGGAGTTCTCGAAACATACGAGCGGCAGGGCGCAAGCCCATTGGGGTTCTTATTATTTCCGTAAGGCTGAATATGCTGAGGCCATACCGCATTTAGAAAAATCTGTAGAGATCAATTCTTTACAAGAGAAGATATGGCTACGTTTGGGCTACGCAGCTATAAAACTAGAGCGGTGGGAGCTGGCCGTGCATGCCTATATAACCTACACACATATAGAGCCATTGGGTTTTGAGTCGTGGAATAACTTGGCAAAGGCACTGGTGAAGTTGGGAGATAAAAAGCGGGCACATAAGGTGCTAAGCGAATCATTGAAATGCAATTACAACAACTGGAAGGTATGGGAATAGCGTACGCGTTAAAGACGTATTAAAAGTTTAATTTTTCTCTAGGTCTGGGAAAATTTTATGATTGTCTCGGTTGATACGTGCAATTTGGAGGATGCCATGAATGCCTACAGTCGTCTCAGCGAGCTGAAAGATCGCTACCTTGACTTGGAAGTACTTTGTGTTACTATAGGCGCTATTTTAGAGGGTAAAGCTGACGCCAAGGGGCAGACTCAGGAACGTTTACGCAAGAAAGCTATAACGTTGTTGGCGCAACAATGTGTTAAACATGGAATTGAGCCGAAAGTATGGGAGTTAGCGGCACTGCTTGCTGTCACGCCGCTGAATAGGGCACAAAAGTTGGTGAAATCAGTCAATGCGTATACCACAAAAGAGCTGGAGTGGGCAACGAAGCAGCTATATGCGCTCAAAGTGATACAAATATGTCAGCAAGCATGTGAACTATCTTTGGAGGCAACCAATGAGCATACCCTGGAAGAAACTGAAGTAATGATAACCTCACAGTTAAATTCTGCTCGTCTTGCAGCACAGGCAGTGATACGCGCAACAGCGAAAGTTAATGAGAAGTGGCCCGAAAATGAAGCAGCCTTAGCTGAATTGAGGGAGAAAGTTGATTCGCTGACATTGAAGGTTAAAGAGCGTATGTATGTTAGTTGATATTTTTATATTAATTAGGGTAGCTAAAATTATTTTAAATAAAAATAAAGTTTATTGCAAGTGACCAATACAAATATTTAAAATAAATTCAATTTGGTGGTTACCAAAACACGCACACACTGATCAAACGACCCGCACACAGCTAAGCCCAACTTGTCTGGATGCCAGTCAAAGCTGTGCACTGGTTGCGAGGATACTGTTGAGGCGTGCAGCATATGCAGGGTGCCAGGAACTCCCATCTCAATGCTATCCCCATCGGCTTTGCGTCGCTTTTCCGGATACTCATATTGCCATAAACGTATCGAGCCAGTTCCACCACAAGAAACAAATACGTCACGATTCTGTGGTAAGTGACGTATAGCCCATACTGTCGATTTTGGACCAGTAATCACCCCATTGGAGCCCACGCTACGTCCAGCATTACGCTCTTCGACACAACTGAATCCTTTTGTTGAATGCTGGGTGCGCATATCATACACAAGTAGACCACCCTCCAGTGTGGTCACACCCATTTTATTCATTGGTATGTCGGCACGATCAAACTCGATGCCACATATACCATTTTTAAGCGTCGTTTCCCAACGCACAGCCAACTGCCGCAAGTCGAATAGCTTTAGGTCGCCATTGTCGTAGCCAGCTGCCACACATCTTTCATTATTATTGAAGCTATCGCCAAAAGCAACTGCCCAGCAGTCACGACGCTCACTACGATTAATGCCATCGCCTTTCACCGATTCTGGACTGATGTCGACAACCGGTGCTGAGCCCTGACGTATGTCCCACACTTTGACGGCGCCATCACGACTTCCGGTGACGATTTCCGGTGCGCCACAATCCACTTGTTTACCTCCAACTGCATCGATGGCATTTATAATGCTTTTATGCGCTTCTACGTTGTAGACTGGTAAATCAGGACGTTCTAAATCACTGAAAATATACGTTAGAGTATGATTTTTCTATATAAGACTCGCAATACTCACAGTACTTGCATGCGCCCTTCAAAATCACCTATAGCCATGTGCCGGTTTCGCAAGCTGGATGCGCCAAAAGTTCCACATTTAAATGCCGTCTTCTTAACGACCTCCTTGATTTTATCGGCTCTTGATTCATTGAGCTCATAAATTTGTAAAATACCATTGCTATTCGGTTTGGAGCCGAGTACTACAAATTTGGCAGAACATGGTATCCATTTCACATCGTATATGGTATAGTCGACATTCTGTTGGATGTGCTCAATCATCTGAGGCTTATCCATTTTGCTTGGAGGGGACTATATTTAGCGAAGTTTAGTTAAAGTTGTTTGTTCTATAAAAATCGTGCTAAATATTCATATAAATACGGTTTCTATGGTTATGAATGACGTTTAGTTTATTTACGAATGTGATGAGACAAATAAATAAACTAACAACTGGCTGGCGCAGGGATGCATGATGCAGCAGTTCCTTAACCCAATAGTGAACATTTTTGCCTCGGTTCTGGAAAAGTACGTATATAAATTTTGAGATTTTGGCTCTTTGGTGCCGGCTTTTTGAATTAATTTTAATAGTTATGGAATTTGAAAAGCTAACATTTCTATTGGAAGAAAAAAATCTATAAGATAGCCGAACGTCAAGAAAACTAAGAAAATAAAGCCAGAAAGCTGTTCCATTACTCACCTGGTACAATTTTATCATGCAATTAATAGTCAGCTGCAATCAGCTGGTGGTAGGGTAGCCAGCATAGAAAAAGGAACCATAAACGAGTGCAATAAACTAGCGATTTATTAGGCTTGTTTTATTCAACCGCCATAAGCAAGTAGCTAAATCTTGGTCAAATAAAACGAAATTAGCTTATTTCCTATGTTAGCCTAAATTTGACAGTTGTTTGACTGCAAATAGTGTCAAAGTAAGTTTTTGCCTCTTTCTGGCTGAAGGAGAAAATTTCTGATGCTGAATGGCAATGCCTCTTGTTCAATATACAAGCCAAGATAGCTTTTCATAAGCCAATATAATTATGTTGGGTAAGTCCTCCATACAAAATAAGCTAATAGCTTAAATTTCTGGACAAATAAAACACGGCAATTATCATTTTTGCAGGTAGTGCTTCTGAATAAAACAGTGAATGATTTGAATAATAAGCTAAAAAACTGCAAATCAATTGAAAAAATTAAACCATGAATGTAAAGTAGTTGTAAGACGTGGAATGTTCAAGTCATTTTTAAAAGTTTGTCAAACTCAAGAATTTCCAAAAAGAGATTACAAGAGCAGTTACACATTGTATGTAAAGTGACTTTCGGAAGCCCTTTTTATTTCTGAAACCCAAACTCTCCGAGACTACTTTTTATCTTTATTTTTCATATTTCATTCAACAATTTTATAATTTTATACAAATTCGCCAAAAAACGCGTCACACGGCAACACTTGATTGGTTTGACAGCACTTGCAGCAAAAATTAAAATTGCTAGTGCAGCACGAGCAAGTTGAAATTATTTCTCGAAAGGGATTTGCATAATTTCAGTTGCAGTTACACCTTGCAATTTTTATTTCCGAAAGTGATTTCTGCAAATCTGCAAAAAGGACTTTATGGCTGTTTCCACGGGTAAGTAGACTTTCGATTTCGCATTTTGACAGCAAAACGCGTAGAAAAAGCGCTTGCCTTGCCACGTTTAAACGCACCTTAATATGCACATAACCTAAGTTTGTCCACATTCACCAAAAATACAAGATCACACAAGAATAAGAGTAGCCCGTTATAATCGCATTTAAAAAAGTAAGGCGATTTTGACATTAGCCGTTTGTTTACATTTCTGCGTTGTTCACAATTTGGTGGTGTTTTTTACTGCAATTTTCTTTATTTTCGCTTGTGACAACGTGTGTACACATAAGGTAAAGAGTAATTTAACAACGACATGATTTATAAAAGAATTTGCATAATAAAAATGATTATTCATGCGTTCAACAATTACGCGGTTTTCTGCGTTCTCTTCGTTGTTTACTTCTTACAACAAAGATGGCGTCGGGATTTCAACAGATAGAAAATAACTTTTTTCTTTCTTTCCTTCTTGGAGATCTGGTGTCTTTCGCTCATGGTTTGTCCATGTAAAAATTATCCAGGAACTTAATTTCCGGGAATCCAGCAACATGCGTTGAGCTATTTTTCTTACTGGCTAATAGTTGCAAGTTAAAAATTTTCCGGTACAAACTTTCAACTTCCTCTCCAAGAGAGTTATCACTTTGCTTTCTCAATTTCACCTTCTGCGCAAGTTTTCAAGTTCTCAAGTCCAACATCATTCTCCAAATAATCTCTAATCGACGCCCTTTATTGAGAATGCTATGATACTCCACTTGAGGTACTGTTGAGAAACAAAGTTGGCGAATTGAGAAATACCTTAGTTCTCAACTTAACCTCAAACCTAAATGTTTGTTGGGAAACGTTTGCTACCGGCAGCGCAGTCGGCGCACTGTCATTGTACAAGTGACAACCGACAAGTTTTGCTTGCTTTCGATTTGCCATGCAGCTTTTTGTCAGTGCAGCAGTCAGTTGCTTGAGTTTTTGTGAATTACTTGATAAATTTCCATACGCGTATAAAGTATAATTTATGTTAATAATTTTAACGTAAATGGCAAAAAATTTAATTTTGATTGCCAGAGCAGCTAGACAGTATCGCACTTTCACGCTAGAAGCGAACACATACTTAAATAAAAAAACTACAAAGTCTGAGTAACCGAATCGTCATTTCCTTTTCTGATTGGCACAAAGTGTTTTTCATGTTAGAAAACTTAATTGGAATAGCTATCGAAGTAACAGCTCATACCTATTCGCAGTGCTTAGTGGAGGACAAAGTGTAATCGCCCGCTAGCTGAGCATAGCAGCGCGAGCAGGAACTTAAGAACAAGTGGCGGCCACAATTAAAATACATTTCGGTCACCAATTTTTACTATCAAAGCTGTTGCCAACAGTACCCCACACTTCAGCGCAACTGCCATTTGTTTTTGTTGCGGTGACAGTGCGTTTTTGCAGCTGGTTTGGTAATTTTGTTATTGAGAAACTAGTATTCGAATCACTAGTGCAAAATTATGTAAAAAGCGCAAATTTCAGTACCTACCTATGTTATTAATTTAACTTTGGATCAGCAAAAAATAACGCAAACTCATTGAGAACCTGGCAGATAAGCAGAGAAAAAAAATATAGAAAAGAGAAAACTTGAATATGGAAAATTATGTACATAAGTATGTACAGGCATCGATTATAAAACAATGACGCGTGCGTGTTTGTGCAAATAAAACCTAATCGTATGCAAAGTTATAGATATAATGTTAATTATTGTAACAAGTGTTTACATGTGTAGTTATTTTCCTTATGTTTGCAACAACGATCATTCTTTGAATTCCTTTAGTTGAAACAGCAGCATTTTGTGTACTTACATGTGTTATTCACCTACAAAAAAAAAAAAACAAAAAACTTACAAGTCAGCTGGCAAAACACCTGATTACATTAGCAACTATAAACTCTGAAAAAGACAGAGCCACATAGCAACAGCATAACAGAATTGGCATGATAGCAGTAGTAACAGCTGCCTAAGGTATGTTAGTAACAGTGCTCATGTATAGCTTTGTTTCTTAACAGATAATTATCACAAATTATCACTAATTTCTGCTGGAAAGCGTTTCTTAACTGAAATATCTATCAGAAACTAGCAGCTCCCTCTCGTTCTTACGCTCTTATTTTTTGGCTCTCCTTGGACGTGAGCGAACCTCACTCACACATACGCAATGTTTGACGTACCCTGTGGGGAAAATCTCTAGTTCTGAACTGGTGCGCTTCTAGTACATTTAGACCCAGTACTGGTTCGCGGTAAATCTCTTTTGCATGCAAGCAACTGGCGAATTTAACATGGCGATGTCCTAGGAAGTGTCAATTGCCCCCCGCTGCATCCCTTTTTCGATAGTTCCGAACTAGTCCTAAATTCTATAATTCCGAACCAGTTCTAAAATCGACAGACAAAAGAAAAAAATATCATGATTTTTCAATCTTTCTGGTTCTTCCGTGTGTGCGATTTAAGTTATTTTGGAAGAAATGTGTTTTC